AGAAAAATTGAAAAATTGATAAATCACCACAATTGCTTAGCACGATTTTATCTCAGGAACTATAAGTGTCAATGAGCTGAAATTTTCAGGGATTGTAGTCCTTTGAAAAGGATAATTTTCAGTGAAAGATTCAGCTTTCTATCTATAATAGAAAAAAAGTTATGACTTTTCAAAATTTTCCAAAAAAATCATAAGGGGGGTACCTTCCTACTAAAACGATGAAATTTCAAATTTTTTTTTGTCGAGATTTTGTGTCCTAATGGTCCCTCGTGATACCCTGAACTCCATAAACTAAATTATTCTCAGATTTGAAGCCAAAATCTATGAAAAAAGGCACTCAGAAAAATTGAAAAATTGATAAATCACCACAATTGCTTAGCACGATTTTATCTCAGGAACTATAAGTGTCAATGAGCTGAAATTTTCAGGGATTGTAGTCCTTTGAAAAGGATAATTTTCAGTGAAAGATTCAGCTTTCTATCTATAATAGAAAAAAAGTTATGACTTTTCAAAATTTTCCAAAAAAATCATAAGGGGGGTACCTTCCTACTAAAACGATGAAATTTCAAATTTTTTTTTGTCGAGATTTTGTGTCCTAATGGTCCCTCGTGATACCCTGAACTCCATAAACTAAATTATTCTCAGATTTGAAGCCAAAATCTATGAAAAAAGGCACTCAGAAAAATTGAAAAATTGATAAATCACCACAATTGCTTAGCACGATTTTATCTCAGGAACTATAAGTGTCAATGAGCTGAAATTTTCAGGGATTGTAGTCCTTTGAAAAGGATAATTTTCAGTGAAAGATTCAGCTTTCTATCTATAATAGAAAAAAAGTTATGACTTTTCAAAATTTTCCAAAAAAATCATAAGGGGGGTACCTTCCTACTAAAACGATGAAATTTCAAATTTTTTTTTGTCGAGATTTTGTGTCCTAATGGTCCCTCGTGATACCCTGAACTCCATAAACTAAATTATTCTCAGATTTGAAGCCAAAATCTATGAAAAAAGGCACTCAGAAAAATTGAAAAATTGATAAATCACCACAATTGCTTAGCACGATTTTATCTCAGGAACTATAAGTGTCAATGAGCTGAAATTTTCAGGGATTGTAGTCCTTTGAAAAGGATAATTTTCAGTGAAAGATTCAGCTTTCTATCTATAATAGAAAAAAAGTTATGACTTTTCAAAATTTTCCAAAAAAATCATAAGGGGGGTACCTTCCTACTAAAACGATGAAATTTCAAATTTTTTTTTGTCGAGATTTTGTGTCCTAATGGTCCCTCGTGATACCCTGAACTCCATAAACTAAATTATTCTCAGATTTGAAGCCAAAATCTATGAAAAAAGGCACTCAGAAAAATTGAAAAATTGATAAATCACCACAATTGCTTAGCACGATTTTATCTCAGGAACTATAAGTGTCAATGAGCTGAAATTTTCAGGGATTGTAGTCCTTTGAAAAGGATAATTTTCAGTGAAAGATTCAGCTTTCTATCTATAATAGAAAAAAAGTTATGACTTTTCAAAATTTTCCAAAAAAATCATAAGGGGGGTACCTTCCTACTAAAACGATGAAATTTCAAATTTTTTTTTGTCGAGATTTTGTGTCCTAATGGTCCCTCGTGATACCCTGAACTCCATAAACTAAATTATTCTCAGATTTGAAGCCAAAATCTATGAAAAAAGGCACTCAGAAAAATTGAAAAATTGATAAATCACCACAATTGCTTAGCACGATTTTATCTCAGGAACTATAAGTGTCAATGAGCTGAAATTTTCAGGGATTGTAGTCCTTTGAAAAGGATAATTTTCAGTGAAAGATTCAGCTTTCTATCTATAATAGAAAAAAAGTTATGACTTTTCAAAATTTTCCAAAAAAATCATAAGGGGGGTACCTTCCTACTAAAACGATGAAATTTCAAATTTTTTTTTGTCGAGATTTTGTGTCCTAATGGTCCCTCGTGATACCCTGAACTCCATAAACTAAATTATTCTCAGATTTGAAGCCAAAATCTATGAAAAAAGGCACTCAGAAAAATTGAAAAATTGATAAATCACCACAATTGCTTAGCACGATTTTATCTCAGGAACTATAAGTGTCAATGAGCTGAAATTTTCAGGGATTGTAGTCCTTTGAAAAGGATAATTTTCAGTGAAAGATTCAGCTTTCTATCTATAATAGAAAAAAAGTTATGACCTCTCAAAGTTTTCCAAAATCTAAATCATAAGGGGGGTACCTTCCTACTAAAACGTTGAAATTTTAAATTTTTTTTTGTCGAGATTTTGTATCCTAGTGGTCAATCAATGATACCCCAAACTCCATACACTAAATTATTCCCAGATTTGGAGCCGAAATCTATGAAAAAAGGCACTCAGAAAAATTGAAAAATTGATAAATCACCCCAAATTGCTTAACACGATTTTATCTCAGGAACTATAAGTGCAAATGAGCTGAAATTTTCAGGGATTGTAGTCCCTTGATAAGGATAAAATTCAGTGAAAGTTTCAGCTTTCTATCCATAATAGAAGAAAAGTTATGACCTTTCAAAGTTTTCTAAAATCTAAATCATAAGGTAGGTAGGTACCTTCTTACTAAAACGTTGAAATTTTAAATTTTTTTTTGTCGAGATTTTGTATCCTAGTGGTCAATCAATATACCCCAAACTCCATACACTAAATTATTCCCAGATTTGGAGCCGAAATCTATGAAAAAAGGCACTCAGAAAAATTGAAAAATTGATAAATCACCCCAAATTGCTTAACACGATTTTGTCTCAGGAACTAAAGGGTGTTTTTTTTAGAGGTTTGTTTTTCTACCTAGTAACACTGTTCCTAGTGACAGTAAATTTGACAGGTGACAGCTCATTTCCGTTCATTATATCTTGCCATTTCATTATAAAAAGACTTACGCCAGAGCAACGCTTGCAAATTGTACAAATTTACTTCGAAAATCGTGATTCATTTCGCGAAACTTCCGCTATGTACGTTACGTCCATTTTACGGTCGACATAATCGTCCATCCCAGCAAGTTATTCGGACAACCATGAATCGTTTTTGCACTACGCATACTCTGATTGATAATCCAGAAAAACTCCTTGCTTGGTGTGCTTGTTGGGTTAGTGGAATCATTGGCCCATATTTCTTTAAAAATCATGTCAGCCAGAACGCGACAGTCAATGGAGAGCGGTATCGATTCTTGATTACTGACTTTCTTGTTCCCCAGTTGAATGGCGTTAGTGTGGAAGAGTTCTGGTTCCAACAAGATGGCGCAATATGCCACACAGCGCGTGACACAATCAACTTATTTCAGGAAACATTCGATGACCGTATAATTTCGCGCAATGAGCTTTTGAATTGGCCTCCACGGTGGTGTGATCTCACACCTATGGATTCAATTCTGTGGAGATATGTGAAGTCGCTAGTCTACGGTGATAAACCAACAACGTTGAATCGACTGGAAGCCAACATTTGCCGTGTTATTGCCGATTAACGTTCCCACATATTCGAAAAAGTGGTCCAAAATTGGACTCCCAGACTTAGCTTCGTTCGAGCCAGTCGCGGCGCTCATATGCCCCAAATCATTTTTAAGCACTAATGGCATGAAATTAACTTTCTATTAAAGTCAATATCATGGCCGTTTACATGATTTTTATGAGTTTTATTCCAGTTCAAAGTTCTATACCTCTAAAAAAAACACCCTTTATAAGTGCAAATGAGCTGAAATTTTCAGGGATTGTAGTCCCTTGATTAAGATAAAATTCAGTGAAAGTTTCAGCTTTCTATCTATTATAGAAAAAAAATTATGACCTTTCAAAATTTTCTAAAATCTAAATCATAAGGTAGGTACCTTCTTACTAAAACGTTGAAATCTTAAATTTTTTTTTGTCGAGATTTTGTATCCTAGTGGTCAATCAATATACCCCAAACTCCATACACTAAATTATTCCCAGATTTGGAGCCGAAATCTATGAAAAAAGGCACTCAGAAAAATTGAAAAATTGATAAATCACCCCAAATTACTTAACACGATTTTATCTCAGGAACTATAAGTGCAAATGAGCTAAAATTTTCAGGGATTGTAGTCCCTTGATTGGGATAAAATTCAGTGAAAGTTTCAGCTTTCTATCTATTATAGAAAAAAAATTATGACCTTTCAAAGTTTTCTAAAATCTAAATCATAACTTTTTACTAAAACGATGAAAAACAAAATTTTTTTTGTCGAGATTTTATATCCTAGTGGTCAATCAATATACCCCAAACTCCATACACTAAATTATTTCCAGATTTGGAGCCGAAATCTATGAAAAAAGGCACTCAGAAAAATTGAAAAATTGATAAATCACCCCAAATTGCTTAACACGATTTTATCTCAGGAACTATAAGTGCAAATGAGCTGAAATTTTCAGGGATTGTAGTCCCTTGATTAAGATAAAATTCAGTGAAAGTTTCAGCTTTCTATCTATTATAGAAAAAAAATTATGACCTTTCAAAATTTTCTAAAATCTAAATCATAAGGTAGGTACCTTCTTACTAAAACGTTGAAATCTTAAATTTTTTTTTGTCGAGATTTTGTATCCTAGTGGTCAATCAATATACCCCAAACTCCATTCACTAAATTATTCCCAGATTTGGAGCCGAAATCTATGAAAAAAGGCACTCAGAAAAATTGAAAAATTGATAAATCACCCCAAATTGCTTAACACGATTTTGTCTCAGGAACTATAAGTGCAAATGAGCTGAAATTTTCAGGGATTGTAGTCCCTTGATTAAGATAAAATTCAGTGAAAGTTTCAGCTTTCTATCTATAATAGAAAAAAAATTATGACCTTTCAAAGTTTTCTACACTCTAAATCATAACTTTTTACTAAAACGATGAAAAACAAAATTTTTTTTGTCGAGATTTTGTATCCTAATGGTCAATCAACATACCCCAAACTCCATATACTAAATTATTCTCAGATTTGAAGCCGAAATCTATGAAACAACTGATATAGTAATTATTATCAAAGTCGAAATACAGTAGAAACTAAGAAAAAAGGAAATAATCAAGAAAGCTAGGAAATGAATACTGAAAAGAAGGAAAATGTCAGGGTAGCGTTAATTTTAATGAAAGAAAATAAAATACAAAGAGGAAAACAAAATATTATAGAATGGGATGTCAACCCGGCTTCATTGTTCCAATCAGTGACACCTATCATATTTTGACAGCTTTTCAAGAAACCACAATTATCTTTAACAAATAGCGTGATTTTGTCTATACAAACTTGCCCAAATGAAAAAAAAATCGACCATCAAATCTTTACCACTCCTTCAAAAAACCAAAAACAATGCAGTTTTGATAGAAATGAAGCTACTTCAACCCTTTTTGCTACTGCTAACATTACCAATCGTACTGTCTGAACGATTCTGCGGCCCTCAAAAGCACTACAACCAGCCCAAAGGAAAAATTGAAACAGATAATCATGCAAAAACGGAAATAGCCAACTGTACTTGGTCCATTAGGACCGTTAAAAACAGTGTAATTGTTTTGAATTTTAAAGAAATCCAACTAGGACTGTTCGATGATGGTTATAATGATGAAGTAAGTTTGCCTTAATGATTTTGAAAATAAGTTTCAATTTTTTTTTTATAGAAAAATTGCCTCAATATAACCAATTTAAACAAGACAGAGCGCTACTATACCGTCTGCTCCATTCACAGATTTTCGGAAAGTTTTTCTTTTCCAACAAACGAACTGCTTCTAACTTTAGAAGTCAGCTCGGAGTCGCACCTGAAACTAAGCTACACCAGTTACGTTGTAAACTGTACCAAAACTGAACTGAACTGCTACAATTCGAGATTTTCTTCGAGGAAAATCACCAAGGTGTGTCCTGAAGGTATGCTACTATGCAATCACCGGTGCAGTAATTCTAAAGTTCTTTGTGGAGATGTTTGTTATGATATTATGAAGCAGAGGTGTAACGGTAAGAATAATTGGTTTTAGTATGATCATTTGGTTTTTTTGTAAAGGAGGTAAGTACTATATATTTTTACTCTTACTAAAACAATAGTCTATTTCCAAGATTTTGACAAGCTGTCATTTCGTTACGGATGAAAATAATGAGACAAAATTCTAGGGTCATAATAAACTCGATGAGATCTTTGAAAAGAGGTATGACACGACCCGTATCCCCTATCCAAATTTGGGGGGTTGTTCTACCCCTAGCTAGGGAGTTAAAGCTACAGGGATGAAAAAAATTGAAAAATATTTTCCCCTTTAGACTGACTGAGACTAAGAAATATAATAACACGTGTATCAATGCTATAACCCAGAATAAATGGATACAGGATACAGTTTACTTGCCATGACTCGATACAAAATTTCGATTTTTTGGTATTTTGTATCTGTCTCTTGTATCTTGTATTTGTCATTGTGACTTCAGCCTAAATCAAAAATCGACGTGTTCGAGCGTTTAAGACTATATCTAAGATTACACAGTTGACTGTTTTTGACGGATGTACTATTCCACATACATTAATCCACTCTGAACTTGACGACAATTTCAACATAGATGAACTCAACTTGACTGACTCATCTGAGGAGGCTATTCAGGAAGAAACTGATAATGACGTTGTGATGGCAGACAAATAACGAGAGGAGCTTAACTTTCTTAAAAATTATATGGACAGGGTAGACTTAAGTAACAGATACGAACAATGGAAACTAAAAATACATTTAAAAAACCGAGAGTCAAAGAAAGACAGTAATAAAGTCAAAGTCAACTAACTCTATAAGTTGTTTTCTTGCTGAAAACAGACAACTCTGATATTCACACAAATGAAAATTAATTCGAAAATGGAAGTTTCAGTGAAGACTCTAAAGAAGTAATAAATGATGAAGGAGGAAAACTTTATGTATATATTCGACCTAAATATTACTATGCAGTAGGTATGTACTACATACAAATAAGTGGATTATTGCGGAACTTATGGGTCGACCTCTGCGGAACGAGCGCAGCGAGTTCCGCAGCCATTTACTCACCAATATACTGTTGAACTGTTCAAATAAAACGCTCACCTAAAACGTGTAGTTTTTGAACTAATGAGAAAAATTCACAACTGAGTGAATCAGGTTAGTATTGTACTTGAACAACATATTGATGAATAGATGGCTGGGTCCACCCATAAGTTCCGCAACAATTCACTCATTTGTACTTGAATAACTTGTCACAATATATTACTAGTTTGGTAAAGTAACATTACTAATTCCTGTTGAAAGGCAAATTGGAAAAAAGTGGATAATCTTACAAATTCTGATTTTATATAATAAGTTATTGTTCAAGTACAAATAAGTCTATTGTTGCGGAACTTATGGGTGGGCCTCTGCGGGACGAGCGCAGCGAGTTCCGCAGCCATCTACTTACCAATATATTGTTGGACTGTTCAAAGAAGACACTCACCTGAAACGTGTACTTTCTAAACTCTAAACTAATGAGAATAACTCACATTTGAGTGAGTCAGGTTAGTATCGTAGGTACTTGAACAACATATTGGTGAATAGATAGCTGGGTGCACCCATAAGTTCCGCAACAATCCACCCGTTTGTATAATCTATTAGCCTATCCAAAACATGTGACTTTGACAAGCAAACAAAGGGTTTGTGTGCCTCTTGGCGGACATTTTAATTTAAGTTTGACAGCACCTTGGTTAAGCCTAGTACTCATAACAGCGAAATTCGCTTTTTTTTAACATTGCTTCGACAATTTGACGTTTTATGTGTGAATTAAACGTCAAATTTTTGAAGCGAAGCAATGTCAAAAAAGAGCGAATTTCGCGGTTATGAGTACTAGGCTTCAGTCGCCTATCTAGAACAAGTAACTTTGACAAGCAAACAAAGGGTTTGTGTGCCTTTTGGCGGACATTTTCATTTAAGTTTGACAGCATCTTGGATAGTCTAATTCACAATCCGAAGTCCACAGGTAAAGGTAAATTTATCACCTTTCAATTGGTAGTTGATAAAGATTTTATTTTATTTATTACCTGCATAAGTTGGTAACATTTTCATATGTCTTTGGGAAGTTATGCATGTGTCATACAGAAGTCCGATATATTAATAAATCCAGAGAATCAGGAAGAAATCGGAAAATGGCAAAAACAACAATCCAGGACGCTTCGTTAGAAGCCAAAAGTCCCGCAACCCCTAAATTCATGGAACCATCGACTTTCAACCCAAGTTTAGATTCCCCAATTAATTTTCTGGGCAAATATGAAAGAGCAGCAGCCCTAAGTGGCTGGTCCGACTCCTACAAAATATCTTTTTTTGGATGTTTCTTAGAAGGCGCCGCAAATAGCTGGTTTTCAGCATATAAATCAAACCAGACAAATCAAAACCGAACATGGGAAAATATAAAACAGACTTCTCGAAGGAGTTTAGCAAAGAATAAACGCTAAGAAAATTGAAGTTTAGGTTGAATAGGAAAAGACAACAGGAGAACGAAGGTATCAAGCACTTCTACTTCGAATTATACGCACTAGCTTATGAGATAGACCCTAAAATGCCCTTCGAGACTTTTAGGGACCATTTCGAGAATGGTCTCCACTCATCGTTCTACGAAATTTACTACCTCATGAGTGCAGGAACGATGGACCACGCCAAGTTGAGAACGTTGGTCCTTAAATTGAGCAAGGTAAAGGAACGCGTCTTGATACAACGAATGACTGATCGAACCAGCCTACTAACATTGGACGAGTGAAAGGGTGGTAATTCAAGCGATTTTAAAGGCATTGCTGGGCACACAAAAAACTCCGGAAGAAATTATGAACATAACGACAGAAATTCGAAAAATTTTGAGAAAAGCTATGGGTACAAAAAAGAGTACGAACCAAGAAGGCCCTAGGGATTTTCTTGAAATTTTCTTCCTAAAATGTAACCCGTCCAAAATTAGAGCTGAGGGCAAGAGGTTCACTATTCTTTATGCAGGGTATTCTTTGGGATTTTTGGATGAATGTGACTTACCTACTACTGGACTCCAACAATACTGACACTACTCACAAAGCTATGAATGGGGACATTTTTCAAAATTGGGTGAAAAGACAATTAATTCCTGCATTGTCTAAATTAGAAGGAAAATGTGTGGCGGTTATGGATAATGCACCATATCATTATATGCTTGTCGATAAACGACCATGTTTTTCGTATGAAAAGGCCAAAATGCAGGAATTCTTGACAAGACATAACGTTTGTTGATGCAATGATTTCGAACCCACTTCAACGGCCGGCGGTTCTTTTTCGCAAAATTTTCGCGACCGTTGAGTTTTGCCTCCATTTTTCGCCGTTTAACAATTGATCGTGTGTTTAAGCGCCCCAAAGTTACAAGACCGCAGAAACCAAATTGGGTAAGCGACAAACAACCTTTTTGCATGACCTCACTTTATTTCTAATTTTTTCGTGTAATAAGGACGCAATATTCGCTATACAGTCCACTAATAATTCAACCGTAATAATTGCATCCTCAATGTTGTTCTTGCTGATGGAATTACAAAAAAAAATTATGGGAATTGATCAAACCATTTAGGGAAACAGGGAACAAAAAATGTGATTGACGAGGTTCTCAGTAGACATTACCTCCATACCATTGTCAATAAAATCCTATTGATATGGCATAGGGGTTTATAACTTGTGTTGTAAGTTTATGGAAAAAGGCCTTATCTGCCTACTCCTGACATGTGGCAAAGTTCTGTTACGGGGAACACTAGCTTCGAAAACATTCCTCCTATCATCATTTGCTTCAATGAGTCAGATTCTGAATCCGAAATCTTGATAGATTCTGATTCTGATAAAGAAATTATGCAATTTGAGAATAATTGAAGCTACAATTTGACATTTTAATCCTCATAGGCTCGAATAAGATTATCATCATCATCGTCATTCAGCCTCTAGTTGCGTCTACCTTGTTGAATAACTCAAGGTGTTTCCATTTTTCTCAATTTTTGTGATGTTGCAATCCAGTTTGTATCCTCCCGATATCGTCTGTCGAGGCGAGTGGAAGGTCAGCCAGGTCTGCGTTTATCACTTTTAGGCCGCCACTCAAGAATTCTTTTGGTCCATCTCCGAACCGTCAGTCGTGCGAACTGTCCTGTCCATATTCATTTGAGCTTTGAACACTCTCTAACATCGACTACTTTTGACCTTATAAAAAACTTATCCAATACTTTCTTCTCCTTTCCATCATTTTTTCACTATTTTTCAAATATTCATACTCAGTTCTTTTTAATAATAAATAATGTGTTTCGAGTTATTTGAATTAAGTACTATCCAAGTGTTTTAAAATGTGATCCTTCAAATTCCATTTTCGTTCAAATTTTGCTTTGCAAGTGTTACATTCAAAGAGATAAATATCCGAGTGTGTCAACATGTGACTCTTCAAATAGCGTTTTTGTTCAAATTTTACTTTGCAAGTGTCACATTCAAACAGATAAATATCTAAATGTGTCATTAAATGGATTTTTAAAGTTGCCATATTATGTTATGTTCTGCTGCATAGACATGGGTACCTACCTATATTTATCAGTGATTTTTATTTTGCTTACCTTACCAAATAAAAGTGAGATTATTGTTTCAACGGTATTGTAAAAGTACCTTATTCAAAGTATAAAAATATGCCTCAGTCCTGCTCTGTTATTTTGCAGTTTGTCATCATAAAAATGTTTACCTACAAGCGTGCGGTAAAGTGCACTTTACCGCACGTATCTGCAAATGGAAAGTAGCACTTTACCGCACACTATGCGGTAAAGTTAACTTTAGAGCATAGAATGCGGTAAAGTTAACTTTACAGCATAGTATGCGGTAAAGTGGACTACAAAGTGTGCGGTAAAGTGCACTTTACCGCATAGTATGCGGTAAAGTAGAATTTGATATTTATAATCAAAAATCCTTTCTTTTTCAGAAAATGGATTTTGAATAATTTTTAAATCTAATCTAATTTCATTAATTAATCTGATTTATTAATTGATTTTATTAATGCCTTAACAGCTTGACCGAACTCCGCTTCGCGTCGTTCGGTCAACTGCCGTTGCGTGCGGTAAAGTATCACTTTCCGCATTTGTTAGGTAAATAACTATTATCTACAAGCGTGCGGTAACTAGGGTATATTACACGATTTTGCGTGCGGTAAGTACCATATTACCGCACGGCGTGCCTATATAGGTACGTACCTTCAATTACCTATCAGAGATAAATTACCTACCTATCACCGCTAAATTCTACTTGTCTACTGTCAAAGGTGAAAAACGCAATTTTATTTTCTATTATTTTTTAATTTTTTTTTCGATATTTTGTTACCGCACGCTTGTAGATAAAATACTGTATATAATACGTATGGTAATTAGGTTATTACCGCCCTTAGAGATTGCAAACCTCGCCTCACCGACTCGGTTTGCATACTTCTCACACACTTATTATATAATATACTATTACCAACTTATGCGGATAATAGAAATAAAATCCCTATCAACTATCAACTGAAAGGTGATAAATCTTACCTTTAGTTCGGACTTCGGATTGTGAATAGATTATACTTGAATAACTTGTCACATTATATTACTAGTTTGGTAAAGTAACATTACTAATGGCCGTTTCCACCAACTATTTTAGGGAAGCCTTAACGATAAGTAAGTATTCCTTAAACTGACATTCCTCCATGTAAAAATGTAATTTTAGGGAATACTTATCGTTAAGGCTCCCCTTAAATAGTTGATGGAAACGACCATAATTCCTGTTGAAAGGCAAATTGAAAAAAATTGATAATCTTACAAATTCTGACTTTATATAATAAGTTATTGTTCAAGTACAAATAAGTAGATTATTGCAGATCTTATGGGTGGACCTCTGCGGGACGAGCGCAGCGAGTTCCGCAGCCATCTACTTACCAATACATTGTTGAACTTGTTCAAATAAGACACTCACCTAAAACGTGTACTTTTTAAACTAATGAGAATAACTCACATTTGAGTGAGTCAGGTTAGTATCGTAATTAAACAACATATTGATAAATAGATGGCTGCGGAACTCGCTGCGCTCGTCCCGCAGAGGTCCACCTATAAGTTCCGCAACAATTCACTCATTGGTACTTGAATAACTTGTCACATTATGTTACTAGTTTAGTAAAGTAACATAACTAATTCCTGTTGAAAGGCAAATTGACAAAAGAAAGAATAATCATAATCTTACAAATTTTCACTTTATATAATAAGTTATTGTTCAAGTACGAATAAGTGGATTATTGCGGAACTTATGGGTGGACCTCTGCGGGACGAGCACAGCGAGTTCCGCAGCCATCTACTTACCAATATACTGTTGAACTGTTCAAGTAAGATATTAACTTGAAACGTGTGTTTTTAAACTGATGAGAATAACTCACATGTGAGTGAATCAGGTTAGTTTCGTAATTAAACAACATATTGATGAATAGATGGTCCACCCATAAGTTCCGCAACAATACACTCGTTTGTACTTGAATAACTTACCACATTATATTACTAGTTTGGTAAAGTAACATTACTAATTGCTGTTAAAAGGCAAATTGACAAAAAGTGGATAATCTTACAAATTTTGACTTTATATAATAAGTTATTGTTCAAGTACAGGGTGTTTTTTATGTATTGACACCCCACCTACAGCCTTCACCTTTACAAATAGATGAAAGCTGTAAATACAAAAGTTCTTTCTATATTCTTGAAGAGCACAATTTCCCGATTCCAAAACTATATAGTTTGTCTGTATTTGGTTGAGCTGTCTCTAACATATTTGGTTCTTAACATTTTAAAAATACTATCAGAGAAATCAAGTATTTACCTCAAATTTTACTTGCAGCTTTCACCTGTATAGGTAGAATGGTTCACAAAATCAGTAGTAGGATAGTATTTTTACAATTTTTGGAGCCGAATATATGAGAGATTGTTCAATCAAATATAAACAAACTATATATTTTTGGAATCGCAGCATTGTGCTCTTCAAGAATATAAAATGAAATATAGAGTATCCCATTTGAAAAAACCTGAAAGCATGCAAAATTTTAAATTTTTGACATTCAATTTCTATTCCTGACCATGGATTCTAAGAATTAAGCTATAACTGTACAACTTTTGCATTTATGCCTTTCTTCTACCTGTTAAGGTAGAGGCTGTAGATGGGGAGTCAATGTATAAAAAAACATTTTGTACAAAAAACTCCCCCTTAAAATTTAGTATATTTTTCAGTTCTATATATTGAATGCAAATAGATATAAACTCTGTTTAACCAAAGTTGAACGTTGATGATCACTTACTCGAATATATCACAGACGTTACTTTTTGCTGCTGTCTTTATTGCAAGCGCACTGTGTTTATCAAACCAAAATAGGTCCGAACGTGTGAATCCTATGGTTACAAGGATTAGTAAGTGACTTTCAACCTTCAACTTTGGTTAGACAGAGTTTACCTACGTATTTTTTTTCTATTCCAGGCTTTTGAATTTTCTTTGTAGAAGTTTAGGAAAAGTTACAAGAGCCGCGAATAGACAAAAATTGAAATAAAAAATAGATTTTAACTCGTTTCAGGTGTAATAGATTGTCTGACTGGCGAAGACGAGCTGGGTTGCGACCAGGAAACTTGTCCCAACCAAATCGCCTGTACCGACCAAACAAAATGCCTAAAACCCCAGGAAATTTGCGACGAAAAACCCGATTGCAAAAACGGCTTCGACGAACTCAACTGCCTCAGATTTTCCTGCAAAAAAGACGACCCTGATTGCGACATTGAAAGAATCACAGAGGAGCACAGTAGTGGAGAAACTAAAAACTATTTAACTTATGTTATCGTTATCAGTTTGATTGTGATGATGTTGATTTTTGTTTTGTTGATTTGCAAATATATGGCTAGGATTGAGCAGAGGACGCAAGATTTGAATACTCTTGTTAATATACCTTTGCCACCTTTTAGGGGTAAGAAAACTAGATTCTTTGTTCATAATTACTCTTGAAACATACAAAATTTAGGTCCTGGCGAAAATTCTGATACAGAAGACGCCTTATACTTTGACGAAGACGAAGACATTTGGCAAAGTCTCACCGCAAATCTGAATCGCATCAAAAACAAACGCAAAAAATTTGAAACTCAAAATATCACTATGGTTAAACCTCCAGAAGGTAAAAGTGTCCTGGACGAATTTTTCAAAGGCGTTCCGCCTGTTTTGGCTGAAGATATGGCTGCGTTGGCTTCCATCAAAATAAGCCGCGAAATGTGTCGCGGTTTGAGGAAGACCAAAAGCGAAGAAAGACCTTTGACGTAGGTAAAAATTTCTAGGATTTTAATTATTATTTGAAACATTGTTTCATAGGAGAAAACTGTTTGTTGACCATAAAGATGATTCAGAAGGTTGCAGTGAAGATGACGAGCCTAAACCGCCAAAAATAAAGAAACTAACTCGTGCCAATGCAATAAAAAGTGATACTGATTATGTTAAAGGAAAGGGAGTTAGATTTAATTTTCCTAGCACTTTTGTTTAAATGTTCATAGATTAATATAATATTATGTACTTACCAATAACTAATACGCTGCTACACAATAACTAACTCCTAATAGGATAAAGGAAAGGGGTGCAAGAGGTTTTTATAACCACCATTGAAGAGTTACTATGGAAACAATAGATAAGAATTAATGGGTAATGATAAGGTTTAAGTAGGGGAGGGACACCTGCAGGATTATGGCAAATAAATGGAAAACCTTTTTTTGAGTTTATCCTGAATCAAAAAATCCAGAAACTGCTTTTTGATTTGGTTCTAATGAGAACCCAAGTAAGTACATTTATGAGAAAAAAAAGTAGCAAATTTCTGCAACATTGCACACTCGCTATATATTTTTATCGATATTCTAATTATGTACTCTATATATTTCCGTCGTGTTTTCGCTCAAATATTTGCTGTCCCAGATAAGGATATATTAATTTTTGGGTCCTGACACGTAAACCTCTTTAGCAATGGCGTCAAAAGGATATTTTAGTTGGAAATTTCAAAAGTTTGTAGACTTTTTCATTTTCAATTCAATAAAGTTTTATACAAATTATTTATTAGTTTAATCGTGAAACTTTTAGCAGCACTTGTCAAAGGGAAAATTGTTAAATTTTTAGAGAAGAAAAGAGGAAAATTTGAAGCTCATTATACCGAAATTTCAAATTTTTCCATTGGAAAATCGCTGCATGGAATATTACTTTTTAAAGCTAAATAAGGAAAATTCACCCTCTTACATGTTAATTTTTTTTTAAAAAACTACCTAAGGGAAAATTGTGAAATTTTTAGAGGAGAAAGAGGAAATTGTAGAGCTTATTACCTATATGAAAGTTCCTTTCTTTTACTTAATTTGAATTTTCAATTAAACTTTTCTCAAAATTGATGTATTTTCATTTTACTGCCTTCCTTGTTATGCTTGTAGTAGAGTGCTCCTTATAATATATACTCCTAGACAAAATTATCGCACCACTGCACATAAGCATCACATAAGCAGTGGTGCGATAATTTTGTCCAGGAGTATATTTTGACTTTTGGGCGCGTCGGAGTTACAAGCTGAAATTTTCACAAAATGGAGGTTTTATTATGTTAATTCAAAATCCCAAGGTAATAGAAAATCAGAACGGACAAAAGGGCACTATATTTTAAAATTGAGATTATTGCATGAGCATATAGAATATTAATGTATGACTGTTTTCATATATTTCGTAATGGTAGATTAATCGAAAGAGCGGGTCAAAATTAGTGGAAAACAAGCCTGACATCAATTTCAAATGCCCATTTTAAGCAGAAACAAAAATAATCCTATTTTTGGCTCTGGAAAATTTTCAAAATCTTGACAAGGTCATTAACAATTGCCCATATCTTTAATAAATTTTAAGCAAATTGGAATAAATTATACATCATTGGAAAGAGCAATAAATTCTCTATAAATCTGTGCAAAATTGAGTTCGATAGCTCGAATAGTTCTATAAATCTGGAAATATTGTTAATTACAGGCCATTAAGAACTCAATTAAAGCTACAAATTCTGGAAATTTTTATGCAATTTGCTCAACGGTTACTGAGCAATTGAGGTTTGAATATTTTGAAATCAGAATTCAAAGGGGGTACCCTTATGAAAAATTCGATTTTTTTATTTCTTAGTTTTGCTCAATTTTGACCTTAAGAATCGATAGAGCGGGTCAAAATTAGTAGAAAATAACCTTGTTATCAATTCCAAATGGCCATTTTAAGCAGACACAAAAATAAAAAGAAAATCCTATTTTTGGCTTTGGAAAATTTTCAAAATCCTGACAAGGTCATGAACAATTGCCCATATCTTTGGTAAATTTTAAGCAAATTGAAAGAAATAATATACCATTGGAAAGAGCATTTAAATTTCTATAAATCCGTGTAAAATTGAGTTTGATAGCTCGAATAGTTTTTGAGCAATTGAGCCTCAAAGTTGACTTTTAGTCCAAATTTTGTCAAAAACTTCAAATTCAATTTGCTCAAAAACGATAAATCTGAGAATATTGTAAATCACAGGCCATTTAGAGCTTAATAAGAGCTATAAATGCTGAAAGTTTTAATGCAATTTGCTCAACGGTTATTGAGCAATTGAGGTTTGAATATTTTGAAATCAGAATTCAAAGGGGGTACCCTTATGAAAAATTCGATTTTTTTATTTCTTAGTTTTGCTCAATTTTGACCTCAAGAATCGATAGAGCGGGTCAAAATTAGTGGAAAACAACCTTGATACCAATTCCAAATGGCCATTTTAAAGCAGACACAAAAATAAAAAGAAAATCCTATTTTTTGCTTTGGAAAATTTTCAAAATCCTGACAAGGTCATGAACAATTGCCCATATCTTTGGTAAATTTTAAGCAAATTGAAAGAAATAATATACCATTGGAAAGAGCATTTAAATTTCTATAAATCCGTGTAAAATTGAGTTTGATAGCTCGAATAGTTTTTGAGCAATTGAGCCTCAAAGTTGACTTTTAGTTCAAATTTTGTCAAAAACTTCAAATTCAATTTGCTCAAAAACTATAAATCTGGAAATATTGTAAATCACAGGCCATTTAGAACTCAATGAAAGCTACAAATTCTGGAAATTTTAATGCAATTTGCTCAACGGTTACCCAGCAATTGAAGTTTGAATATTTTGAAATCAGAATTCAAAGGGGTACCCTTATGAAAAATTCGATTTTTGTATTTTTTTGTTTTGCTCAATTTTGACTTTATGAATCAATAGAGCGGGTCAAAATTAGTGGAAAACAACCCTGATATCAATTTCAAATGGCCATTTTAAGCAGACACAAAAAAAAAAAAAACCTATTTTTGGCTCTGGAAAAGTTTCAAAATCCTGACATAGTCATGAACAATTGCCCATATCGATGGTAAATTTTAAGCAAATTGAAAAAAATTATATACCATTGGAAAGAGCATTTAATTTTCTATAAATCCGTATAAAATTGAGTATGATTGCTTAAATAGTTTTTGAGCAATTGAGCCTCTAAGTTGCCTTTCAGTCCAAATTTTGTTCAAAACTTAATTCAATTTGCTCAAATACTATAAATCTGAGAATATTGTAAATCACAGGCCATTTAGAGCTTGATAAGAGTTATAAATGCTGAAAGTTTTGATGCAATTTGCTCAACGGTTACTGAGCAATTGAGATTTGAATATTTGAAAATCAGAATTCAGAAGTAATACGTAAAAGGGTTTATTGTATTGTACAATTGGCGAGAAAAGGCGCTAGGGAGAAAAGTGAGATGGAAGAGTACTAGTGCAGCAGGACAGCGGGCTGTTGCGGTGAGGAATTTCATTATGCACCACTTTGTGACGCACTCAACTTATCAACCCTTTGCTTAAGAAGGAAACAGAAAAACCTCAAACTGATACATGAATCACGTAACACCCGCACATAACAATTTTTTCATCTTCAATTTCACAGAACCAACTATGCATATCACTCTTTCATTCCTCGTATCCTCAGACTGTGTAATTAGCTGGGAGACTTTAATTTTTTTGGGCCCTATGAACCATTTGCAAGAACTGTCAGTGACCTCAAGTTATAATAATTGTTATTTTATTCAGTGATTTTGTATTTAGTTTGATTTAACTTAATTTAATTTTATTTAATTCAATTAAGTATCATGGTTTGTTATTGCATTCTTTGTTTCTGCTTTATCTATTTTGATTGACATTTTTCTTTTATTATTTACTTGTTGTTTCACTTGTACACTTTGTTAATTTTTAATGGGCTTGACCCGTCAATAAATAAATAAATAAATACCATTTGAACAATAAACTGTTAATAAATAATTTTCTCTAAAGCTTGAATATTATTATCTTTCTTTCTTCAACATGAGAATTTGAAAAGGGATTTCGACACTTTTGACAAAAACGTCAAATGAAAAAATTAGGAGCGGATGACATTTATAATAGATCACCCTGTACTTACAACAGCACTGTTTATTTTTAGAATTTATTTTTTTTGTATCAACAACAAAACAATAAATACAAATATGTATAGTTAAATTAAAGCTCTCTGTGCAAAAACCATTATAATTTTCAAATCATTTTTAGCTAGATTTGCAACAAACCTTGGTTATAAATAAACGGTATAACGCCAAAATTCTCCCCTACTCTCAATGGATAAAAACTGTTTTCTATCGCTTTACCTACATTATTAGGGTGGGTCTTATCTCACCTAATGTTAACTTAACACACAAATAACATCTGGCTGTTTACTTTCGATAAGACTATTTAATATTGTTACAAGTCGTAATGCGCGATAGCTGAATTTAACGGTGGATTATTACCCGAACTCAGGGCCGGGGTAACAGAATATGATTCATAAAACCTTAATTATACACAAAGTTTTTTTTATTAATACAAAATATAGTTAAAGACACTTTTTACCAAGAATTATACCTTCATTTCATTCATAAGGCCTACAAAAATCCTTCACTGATAGGGTTGATTTGATTGCCCTTTGAAGGATTTGAGATTTAATAAAATAGCATAGCATAAAATTATGTGGGTTATATTGGCAATAGGCAAATGTTATGTTTGTAGAACTTTCATGCAAAATTAGTACATTCAAACACTGACTATTTTTGTAATTTAGAAGTTTCTAATTATTGTGACTTGACTTTGAAAAAAACATTTAAAATGTTTCCCATAAGTGAGAGTTCAGCAAACAAGAGGATGAATACAATTTTTCAAGAATATTTTTTGCTCTATTTCTTTTTTTGATTGACTCAATTTGTATCTATTCCAGGCTTTTGAAGTTTCATTATGATTCAATTATTCATTATGATTCAAAATAATCCTTCTCGTTTCCAGTGAAATAATTTGAAATATTAGTATAGCTATGGTCAGCAATAAATTATATTTATAATTGCAAAACCTTAAAAATTTGTGCTAAACACTTTCTAGCATGGTCTCATATGGTCTTGTGAACATTATATTGGGGTAGTCCAAATAATTGAGCTATATTCAAACTGAGACCTAACAATATACAGATCTCACCGCATCCAAAGATAAATCCTGACAATATCTAAGAGCCAAGCCTAATAATCTGTTGTTGTTCTTTACAACGAGTTGATCCATATGGACAGAAAAATATAAACAAGAACAAGAAATGTGTTACAAACTTCAAGGGCAGATAGTATTTATGAAAATAATTAAAAAAGTTCCTATGGATATAGGTCCGGAAACGCTTTGTTTACAAAATACAGGGTGATACGTTTTTCAAAAAAAAATTGTTTTTTATTAATAGCTCAAAGGAGCTTTAGCCGATTTCAATGAATTTTTCACGGTTTATTTCAACTATTATCAGACATCTACTGGACCAATTAGATTTGATCCAGAATTCCCAGGGGCGTATTCAGCGACCAAGTCGGTTGTTTTTGTGCAGAAAAAAAATATCACTCTGTAGTTTTTGTACGATTTTTATTGATTATTCAGAGAGACACACTAAAAATACAACATTTTTGTCTCTTACATTTTTC